GCGGCAGCTTGTACCAGACAAACCCGTCACCGGGATGCTACAGTGCCCTGGAGCAGGGCAGCCCCCCGCCCTACGCCATCGTGCCGGAGATGATGCGCTCCGAGATGGACTCCAACTACTGCCCTCCCGGCAACGTCCACGGGCGGTTCTTCGTGACGCCCAGCTTCGGGGGCCCGCAGTTCGTTGAGAACATTAAGCCTGAGCCTGACATGGACAATTACGGACCGGTCCTGGGTCTGGTGCCCCAGGCTTGCCCGAAAATCAAGCAGGAGGGCAGCGTGACCTGCATGATGGCCTACGAGCAGCCCCGGGTGGCCAGCTCCCCCCAGATCCCTGGGGCAGAGACACCTCCACTGAGTCCTGACGATCTCATGGTGAACGACTGCCACACGCAGATGATGTGCCCCTCGTCCGTGTCCTTCCAGCAAAGCTACCACCCAGCCTCCGGCTTCCACCACCAGCAGACCCATCTCCAGTACCAGAACACCTCCCAGTTTGGCCTTTTCGAGGACAGCCTGCCCTTACAACCCTCCGCTCCCAGAGGCATGCTCACCCCTCCTTCCTCCCCTCTGGAGCTGCTGGACTCCAAACCAAAAAGAGGACGCCGGTCCTGGCCGCGGAAGAGGACGGCCACTCACACGTGCACCTACGCAGGGTGTGGGAAGACCTACACCAAGAGTTCGCACCTGAAGGCCCACCTCAGGACGCACACAGGTAAGCGTGGCTGGTCGCCTTCGTCCGGAGCCGCGCTGCGTGCCGGTCGCGATAGCTGCCTGTAAAACACAGTTTGCTTTAACTCCGTAGTCTCCGAGCTCCGGGAGTATTCCCGGCTGAGCTACGGCAGGTGCTCAGGTCTGTAACGTCCAAGCGTTTCCCTGTGTGTGTGTAGGGCAAAGCTTTTCCACGGGCTTCTAATGCCCTGTCTGCAAAGATTTTCACTGCAGGTATAAGTCAGTAAAGGAATTGCCCGGTTTGGCTTAAAAGCACTTGGATGGTGTTGTAGGAGGGAACAAAAGGATACGCGGAGCTAAACTCGGAGGGTTGCCCAGCCTGCGACGCTGCCTGTACGTGGGAGTGCCGCGCTGAGTCACGCTCTCTCTGCTTTCCCCAACAGGTGAAAAGCCCTACCACTGCAACTGGGAAGGCTGCGGCTGGAAGTTCGCTCGCTCCGACGAACTCACCCGTCACTACCGCAAGCACACCGGCCACCGGCCCTTCCAGTGCCACCTGTGCGACAGGGCGTTCTCCCGGTCAGACCACCTGGCTTTGCACATGAAGCGGCACATGTAGCCCGGGAGACCCTGACCTGCAGACAGCGGACGTTCTTTAATGCTCAGGTGCAGAAGCGTTAAAAACTTGTAGCTGGTACTACGTAGGGAGGCACCGACGCGCTGGCGATGGGAGCTGAGGAGGATTTGACACAAGGAGACTTAGCCAGTCATCTCCTGCAGAGAAGTTGACTATCAGTGACCCTGCCCGTCCCGGTCAGGAGAAGAGGGGGTATTTATGTGAAGGGTAAACTCCGTAGGACTCCATACAGACTGTATAGAAGAGGCTGTAAATATGTTTGGTTTTTTTTTTTCCCAATCCTAAGTGCCCAGTCCTAAGCTTTACAAGACAATGTTTGTATGGAAACTGCCTGAAGTTGACCCTAGAAGGGATTAAATGAATGTTACTGTAGCTAACGACGTTCCTTAGATCTCAGTCGAGGGCATGGCTAAGAGAACACTCCTATGGTTAGACTGTTTGTTTCACAGGTGCAATAATATTCTTGTTTGCCATGATCTACACTAGAAGTACAGGGCTTGATGTCTTGTAAGAACTTATTTTACTGTAATTTTTTTACATATTGTAAATAATTTTATACAATGATAAATATGGTATATGTAAATAGAAGACAAATGGGTATTTTGCCTATTTCTGTTTTTATAAAAACGTCATTTTCAATGTTTGAAAACATTTCATCTTTTTAATAAAATAAGTTTTTAATTGCTGTGATTTTTATTCTCCTTTGAGATCTCCCTGTTGCTTTTTCCCCCTGATGGCTGGACCAACAACCACCTGGTTATGCTTTAAATTATCAATAGCTGTAAGAAGATGCTTAAAAAATCCAAGCTATGGATTTTTCTAACATAGATATGAGAGTGGTAATTCATTCTCAGTGGTAAACAAGACAATACGGTGTTTTATCAAAAAAAAAAAATCAAATAGGAAAGTAGATCACATTCAAAATATACTTCCTAAAAACGGTTAAGTAAGCAACACTGTAATTTCAGTCTCATTTCTAGTTTATGCTAGACTATTTTAATAGCATCCTTAATGTTTTCCAGATGCAGTTCTAGTTTTGCCAGCAGTGTGTGGGTTTTTACTATAAATTTAAACACTGCATTTTTGTAATTACGGAGGCTTATTTTAAGGCATTCTTGTACATAAATTATCCCTGCTCTCAAGAGCTCAGTGCAGAATTCCACTAGAACAGTAGTGGAATTTAGACATAAATTCACAGCACAGGTTAAAATACCTTCATAACTCATTCCCAAAAACTTCAATTCACTTAATAATTTTGATTCCCACCTAGATTTCAGGTGTTAAGAAAGAGATTTACTGTTCTGGAGGACAGTAAGTTAAGCCAGGAATCCAGATTCTGAAAACTGCTTTGCAATAACCTGCATCCTGCCATAGCTGTAGCAGTAAACTGCTGCAGCAAGGCAAACGGAGCCCCCCCACAAGCTCTTCCACAGCTGTAAACGAGCTCATAACTCCAGAGAGTGTATCTATGCAATTACTCTGAAAGGCTAACGAGGATCCTCTGTTTTAACAGCTACAGTTGAGAGGGGAGCCTTGACACAAGAACAGAATCACTCTTCATTAAGTATGCAGGTTTGGCTTAATATTGAAACATTTTTCCTTAACATCTGGCTACTTGGAACTTGATTTTAATGAAGGTTGTGACATTTTTCGGACTTCACAAGTCAGGATACAGAAGAACGAAATCAACAGGAATACATTTAAAGTAACTACAAATATAGCTATTCTTCTGTGAAAGCAAAGTCTGCAGTTGTTCATGTGGAACAGATGTATTTTGGGCTTCTAATCACTGACATGGAAGAATGAGTTCCACATTTCACTTTTATAGCTCTTTCAAAGTGAAATACAAGGGGGATTTAACATTTCTTCATTAAAAACAAAACTCATTTACTTGCTAGAAAAAAATTGCACAATCTAATTCCAGAAAGTGAGGATGACTTAAAGATGTTCTAAAATTAGCACATTCATTGCTGCAACAGTTCTAGGTATTTCCTTCTCTTTCCCCATAGCCGAAGATTTTCATATTTCAGCATGTCCTCTGGTGTTTATAACCTTCACAACACCATTTTTTGACATTAAGCCTCACCCTTACCTTTCCACAGTCTCCTGGCTTTCCCTGGCTCTTTCTGAAGAACTGACAATTCCCAGGTTCCAGTGATACCGTACAACCTTAAACTGTCCCCTCTTTAATAACGTAATTAAACAGGACACGGAGGTGACACCTGGCTGCAGTGGGCACAGCCCTACAGCTGGCTCAGGAAGGTCCCCAGCCAGGGCTCTCCAGCAGCGCGGGAGAGCTCGGAAGCATCACGCCGTGCTTCTCTGGCTCTGCATGTCCTCAGTCATCTCTCGACCTCTGTTAGGGGCAGGGTACTGGGCTAGAAAAGCAGCCACAGCCTGTGAGCTGGCCCGAAGCATGAACGCTGCACCGTGCCTGCCTGCAGAGATAAATGTTACTGCGTTCACCAGCCCCTAAAAAACCACCTGAGTGGCTCCCCCCGAACCGCAACGGCACGGCTGCTCCTCCTCCCGCCTCCGGCACCTCTGCTCCAGTCTAGCTGGAGGGGTCATAACTTCTGCTACCTCTGTTCCTGTTCACTAGGTCTTCAGATAAAAGCCTTGTCGTCTGCATGATACCGGGTTACCAAACAACACCCGAATCATGATCGACAGTGGAGACATGCTCACGATGGGGAAACGAGCAGGTTGTGCCCTCTGAGCTTTTACATGTGTTGTGACTCAACTTAAAATAGGGCAAAGCCATCCTCTTACACATAACTACTAAAAAAAACATATAAAAATATATAAACACAGGCTTCTGAAAGTGGGGAGGCACAAAGCACTAATAAAAACTGGTGGCCAACTTTATCTGAATGGTTTAATTATATGATAATTTCTGTGTGGTGTTCACAGGAAGCTGCAGGTTCTTGGATCTCAAGATAATCTCATACCAGAAAGAAAGAGATGCTGATCTCATTCTTCTCACATTCTACTATGAGTAATTGTCCACTCTCTTTTTCTTTTCCTTTTATTTTTAATTGCCTTAAATTAGTACATCCAAAGATGGGTCAGTGTGATTCCACCAATCTACTACCCCTCCCCTGGCCAGCAGGAAATCACTAACGCTCTGCAATGTCTCCTCATACCAGACCATCAGGTCATCACCTTTTAAATAATTTTGTTCTAGTTAACACAAAAGATCCAGAATCCCAGATGCTTCCCGGGGAACACGCGGCAAAGAGCTGCCCTTTCCGTCTGCAGCTATCCTGGATTTGATTTTGACACACCAGGGAGAGAAAAAGGAAAAAAAGAAGAAGTAGTCAAACCCGATAGGAGGAAACGAGGAGTCCGTTGTAAACAAGATTTTCACACATATTCTTATAAGATACCACAGAGATGGGCTGACTCTGCTTGCAAGATAGATTGCCAGATTAGATAGAGCACGTTGAGTACAGAGACTAGCAAATCCTGCACAATGTTCCTAGTGAAAGTTTTAGCAGATATTGCTGACCTCGAGACACCATCCAGGGGAGTTACTGTTTAAAGTCAGTTAATTCCACTCCGGGTTTCAGAGCGTTGTGTTTCGCTACGCTGAAAACGGTTTTTCTCTCACCTGCTGACTTCAGAAGAGTCAGTTAAATGTGTACGACATGGGAACTCATCTTCAGAAAACACCGTAACACCCAGCCTGTTGCTGCTGACCCAGCACCCAGAGCAGAATCCGTCCTGCCGCCCCGAGGGGCTGTCGCCCGCCTGCCTTCCAGCTCTCGAGGGAGATGCAGCACCCTGCCAGGCAGCCCAGCACCGCCCCAGCACCCTGCGAGCAAGCGGGCAGGGCGCTTTCACATCGGGGTTTTTCAACCCTGTATGGACCAGAAACCCTCCAGCTTTTCTGGAAGTTCATCTTAGCTTTGCAGTTTTGCAGATGATCACGGCGGGGGGAGCTTAAGCTTCAGTTTTGGCCATAGCTCACCTCGTGCAGGCACGGAGGGTTTCAGGCTGTGCGAGTCCTTGGTTCCTCGCAGCCGTTTACCAAGTGCCTGAAAACACTGACTCGCTCTGAACTTTGGTCCTCCATCCACAAGAAGTGCCAAAAAAAGTTTGTCCATTCTTCAAATTACAGGATTGTGCGGTTGTGTGGTTTTCTGTGGTAGCAGCTCTGTGGTTTCGAGAGCTATTTTGTGCACCTATAACACAGAGTAGCTGTTAGGCTTTTCTTAAATGGAATTTTTGAAGCCAGAATCCCAAGCTCCAGCAATTTCTTTTGCTATATTTAAATAAAACATCTACAACAAAGTCATGGAGCCATTGCCATGGTAACTACCAGTGTTGGGGAGAAACATAAAGAGGAAAATTCAATCCAAACCCCGTGTAACTTGATCGGGAGAAAGCTATCCCCACTGCTAACATCCAAAACACACTTGGTGGCATCTACAGACCTTAAAATTCCTGCGTGTCCTCGAAGCAGCCGCTCCCAGCTAGGTCTAACAGCTCCCACCTGCCCGGGACTTATCCTGCGTGCCAAGAGCAGAGTGGTTAGAGCTCCTGGAACCGGCGGGGGCTGCAGCAGCCCCTCTCTCCATGGCTGCAGACCCAGGCTCAGGCACACCTCTGTTCAGATACGTGCTTCCCATAGATTCGGAGGAGAAGGAATAGATTTACAAGTCCAACACCAGAACCCTAAAGCACGTAGCCATACACCGTTCACAGGCCCTGGAGGTAACTGGTTCAACTTATTGATTCCCAGAGAGTCCTTAAAACTCTGTGCTGTTTGATCCCAACCAACCCATTCCCCATCACTCAGGCTCAGATTGGGAATAGGCTCTGCCACGGAACAGTACTCCAAACTTGAAGTGCACAGAGCAGGCAGGGATCTTTCCTAAACTTGTTAGGCAGAAAAAAGTGTTTGATTCAATCTTTCAAGGTCTGACTTTGCAGCTACAGTTATTTGATCTTACAATACTTTATGCAGACACAAAAAATGATTCACATGCACTGCTTTGGGTCATGAAGATGTATTAACGTTAACGAAACCAACCGTTCCAAGCCTAAGGAGAGCAGGAGCCGCAAAGTTTTCGTTTACTCTGT